CATCTGTAGCCGTAGTTTCCTTCCACTCGAACCCATAGTGCTCTGAAGGAGGAGGTAATTGCCCCCATGAAAGAACATCATCAATGAGGCGATAAGTGAAGGCGTATNTGTGTGTGTGTGTGAGAGAGAGAGAGAGAGAGAGAGAGAGAGAGAGAGAGAGAGAGAGAGAGAGAGAGAGAGAGAGAGAGAGAGAGAGAGAGACTCTCACATTCATTCGGCAGATATAACGTGCATGGTGAGAGGGCACGTGGGAGAGAGAGGGAGACAGAGAGAGGGCACATGCCAGGAGCGCGCTTTTCGCTGCTTAGCACCCATAGCAGCTCGTCAGAGGGAGAATGCTCCACATTAGTTAGCAGATTGGGAGGGGGGAACTGGACTGGGGGAAAAAGGTAGGGTGGTTTTTTAAGGGGTTTATCAGCGGGTATGTTTGGGCAGTAACATACCTGTGAGCGAAGCGCCTGCGAAGAAGAAGTCTCCTCGACTGTAGCCATGTTCCCTCGGTGAGTTAAGTCGAGTAAGCTTCTCAGAGGAGCGTAGTGATGGCGGGAGGGGATTAGGAGGCGTTAGAAGACTTCCTGTAGGCGAGCGTTACTCTGCTCGTACTCACTGGTTAGGCGGACGTTAGGAAGTCGAATCGGCAACATAGGAGGTTGGGGAATGTGGGCGAGCTCCTCAGCCAGTTCTGCAAGCATGCTAAGTGCAGTTGAATAGGCTAGTGATAGAGGGCATGTTATATGGTGGAGATTCATAGCAATCGAAGCAGGTGGTGTTTTACTGAGTGTTTTGCTGGGGGTGAGCTTGCTGGTTAGGGGCGGGTGGCAGCGGGTGTGTGTTCGTGCGATGGGTTGTGTGCTTTGCTTGGGTGAGAGGAGAGAAATGGGTGTGGGTGTGGGGTTTCCATTGCGCTGGGTGTTTGTTGACCGTTTTGCCTGAGTAGAGGATGCTCGCTCGTAGAGGGACTGGTCGCCACGTTTTCGTGGTTGTGCTGCTGCTTGAGTCCAAAACGAGTTTGTTTTGTTCTACAGCCGGTGCTGCAGGGAGGGTGGGATTGTCTGTCGTTTTAGGGAGGGGAGTTCGCCAAGGTGCGTGATCCTCAAGGTAGTGGTGAATTTTTATGCGCCCGTGCATTGCGACTTTCGTTCTCGTGTATGTGAGGAGTTTTCTTTGGCAGTGTCGTTTGAGTATGGTGGTGTGGTGATGGTTTTGTCCGAGGTGGTGGTTTTTTGGTTTGTGTGCGGTGCGTTTTTTCTCCGGGGTGTTTTTTGTGCGGGTTGTTTTCTGTCCTTCATGTTTTTTTGTCCGAGGTGCTTTTTGGTCGGGGTGTTTTTTTGTCTGTGTACCTGTAATCTGTGTGTGGATGATGCGCGTTTTTCTGGGGGTGTTGGTTCAACACTACACTATTTGCTATTCCCTTTTTTTGTGTGTGTGTGGGTTGCGTGTCCCATAACTCAGATTTGGGTTAGTGTTAATAGTTTTCTTAAGAAAGGAATTGTTTTCATGGTGGCGAATTGTAGTTGCGGTTTTGGGGCGCGGGTTCCAGAAGTCATTTATAGTTTAAGACCTATAACTTTATGGTTTTTAGCTTTGTGGGTTCTCAGTATATGTGTGGGATGTATAAGTCGGAAGTATGAATTTATTTATTTATTTTGTTATTTTTATTTTATTTTTTCTTATTTATATAAATTATATTCTTTTAAAAGGGCCTTTACCCGATATAGGCCTCAGGCCTTGTAAAAATAAAGCAGCACGGGCCTTGAAAAAGTAAAGCATTGTGAAAAGGTATCTCGCCAGAGCTCAGAAACGTGAAAGCAGGTCAAAGGTCAAGTTCTCTATCAACAGGCATATCTAAAGCTAAGGCAAAGGGCATTGTCAAAAGACTTACCTGTTCACGAGGAGATGTGTATGTCATGTCTGTTCGGGTAAGAGTGTGTCTCTACGTGCAGGCAGTGNAGACTTGTGGGCTTTCAACACATAGTATAGGTAAGGCAGGGTATCAGTGTGGGTATAACCCCAATGGTGATTCCATAGTGCATGGTGGTTGAGCACATCAGCAACGGATTCATGAGGACGAGTATAAGTGGGACTTTCCAAATCTGTAGAGAGGTGAAACAAATACCAATTCTTGCAACAAATTGCCAAATTGCGGGATGATTTGTCCACATGGACAATGGCAAAGTGTTGTTGGAGATGGCGTAAGGAGGCATGTGCACAACGAAGTGAATGTTGYTGGCTCACATGATTGGAAGACGAAGTCGCATTGGATTGACAATGCCCAAGGATTGCAGAACGCCAGCTRTGCAATTTCTGAGAAAGGGACGAGAAARAAGCAGATCGAGAGTGTCTAGCAAATGTATTCTTGTAACTGGCAATGTACTCATYRAGTCCGATCGCCAGTGATTGGAGCACATCAGCAGTCTCCCCGTTCAAACGATATTTAGAACCTTCTTGAAAAAGCTTGCGAAGGTTATCGTCTGAAATGATATTGTAATCAACAGAGACAACATGACCGTCCACAAGATCTGCACAATGCGGAAAGACCCTGCGGCATTCGCAGTTCACGGAGTCTGGTAAGGTCATGTCAGGAGCAACACTCAATGCCACATCAGTAAAGTTGCAAAATTGGACACGTGTGGGTAGCATCAACTTGTCACATACACGAACATGTGCGGCCGCTTGCGGGTCAGGGTGCAATGCAGCTACTTCTGGCAACTGCAACACATGGCGCAAGTTCGTGGCACAAACTACCTCGTGCACATGTACGACTTTAATATGGTCAGTAAACGGGTCACGTGGTTGTGCTGTGTAACATTGGCGGGTATGCTGGGATTTTCGGATGAGGCATTCGAGTTCTCGAATGTCTGCTGTCATGTCCGCATTGGAAACATTGTTATAAAGCCATTGCAAAAGTCGTGCCCGCCACGCTCGTTGTGCCCGCTCAATGTCAGCCTTGACACGACACCAGTTACCTGAAGCAGCTTCATTAAGAAGGCGATGGAGTGAGGTACGAATTACGAGTTGGGGACCTGGACGAAGATCAATAGCAAATGACAGAGGCCAAGGCGTTGGGAGGAGAGGTAAAGGCCGAGAGGGTGTTGGCAAAAGAGGTGCAACATGAGAGCCAACGGGTGTTGGCAAAAGGGGTGCAACATGGGAGCCAACGGGTGTTGGCAAAAGGGGTGATGTGTGAGGAGGATTAGCTGATGCAGGAATAGGTGGAGCAGGTGAGGGCTGAGCAAAAGGGGATTGAGGAACGAACGGCTGAGGGCCCATTTGCGTCCATCGGGAAGGACGTAAATGCCGTCGTGGAGATGGCAATCTAGCCATTGGAAGGACTGCATTGAAAACGACTGGGTGAAGCGTTCAAAGTTTTCGAACCCAAAAACCCTCGCGGGTTGCAGCAGCCCTCCGAAAGAGGCCATGATCAACAAGACCTCCAGACGTATGATACAAGGTAGGATCGATGCATTCCAGGGGCCAAGCCGCAAAGTTGAATGCTGGTTGCCCACTCATTGTGCGGTAGAAATGGCGATGTTGAAAAACAACAGAATAGTGTCGTGTATGCCAATGCTCTTACAGCCTTCGGTGTGCAGAATGCATCGTCTGTCCAACATAAAAACAACCAGAAGGTAAATGAACAATGGCATAAATCACTCCTCGAACAGTGAGGGGGTCCATACCTGGTTCAAGAGGTTGTTGATCAACACCTCGCAATTGTAACTCAAACCGCTCGGCCTGTACAACATTGTTAAGATGACGGAGTTGTCTCTTGCGCCACCTTCCTGCGAATACAAGTTAGTATTCCACTCCAAGTGTGCACGCCAATCTACACCTGTCTCTTATACACATCTAGATGTGTATAAGAGACAGCCCATGCACTTTACTGATTTTTATTACACTTTTTTATTCTTAATTTTATATTATTGTTTTTTTTTTTAATTTTATATTATTTATTAAATTATTTATTTATTTAATTTATATATATATCGTCAAATAGAACTGCCCGGTAAACCGTAGGCAGAGAGGGAGAAGATATATATATATATACTTTTGAAACGGTTTTCACCTGTTAGCAGTAGCGAATGCAGATCCCAGGGCTCGATCCCTAGTTCTCACCTTACCTGTGTACAGTACCTGTGTCGACCCTGAGAGTTGAACCCGTGACCTGTGTGTGTTCGCAGAAGTTGGTAGGCTGTCATAGGGTCTGTAGGTGTAGGGGTTCGATCGGTTGACCTGTCGGGTAGAGGTCTTAGGGAGTTCTAGAAGTCGTAGCTGTAGGACTTCTGAAGGGTTAAGGTCGTAGCTGCTACAGTCCTGAAAGGTCAAGGCCGTAGCTGCTACAGTCTTCGAAAGGCCAGGACCAAGACTTCTGGAAGGTCCCAGTAGTGGCCTTTCGAAACTTGCTCACATCTAGACAGAGGCAAGTGGGCAAGTGGTGGAATCCACCCTTGCTGAGTCAGCGGTACTGGTCCCAGTCAGTCCTAGTCCAGTCAAGCAAGTGCCGTATGGGACTGTGTGTACCCAGGGCATGAGAAAGGGGCAGACCAACGAGCTACAGAAGTATAAATCAAGAGGCAGCAACGAGCCATTCATTCATTCCTGCGAAAGCCACGAGGAAGCGCTGCCACAGCGACTTGTGCGAGGTGGTCTGCAGTGTGCCCAAAGACGAAGTGGACGAGAAGGAGACCTTAGCCATAGTGATAGGGGTAGTAGCGGCCATAGCCGCCATAGCTGTTAGAAGAGTGTAGCGTGTGTGTGTGCATGTGTGTACAGTGTAATGCGTGTGGGATATCCAGGGTGATCCTAAGTTGAGTGCGTGTGACCAGTGGAGTTGGGTGCAGTGACGAACAGAGAGTTGTGCAGGCGCCGATGCGCCATAGCCATCTGAACCGAGCTTGTATCTGAACTGTGTTCTGAGCTACCATATCTCTGAGTTTTTAAGTGGGCGCTTGTTGCCAGTTGCAGTGTTACCTGTTTACATGCATGCGAAGTGTGAAAGAAAGCGAGTCTGATTGCATTGGTATCAGAGCTGGTACCCGCTATTCCACGCGCCATCGCCGTTGAGGAGAAGTCCGCCATAGCTGACCAGCGGAAGAAGAAGGACGCCGCGCGTACCTGCAAGAAGACAACGG